ACAAAAAATTAATGCTCCATGAAATTAAGGTATTGGAAATTAACGCGACTTAAATTAATGCGAATTTAATGGAAAACGACTGTCACATAAAGAAAATTAACGTGAAAGAGGAGGTAGAATTTCATAATAAAAGAAATTAACACGATTAAGACACGGTGGTGACGATTCAAAATCTATCTTGGCCGAAATCAAAGGAGAAGATATTGACATCACTTCTGACAGCAACAATGATGAAGATGAACTCGAAATATTGTAAACCTTCACTTTAGCTTTTGTGAAAGATGAAAAATAAAAGGTAAATGGAAAGAAAGAAAGCTTGTAGTTAATGTTTTTTAGGTGTCAAGAATGTCTGGACAGGTTCCAGAATTGGGGTTAAAAAACAGGAAATTAAGAGCGCGGAAATTAATGCTGCACGTAATTAACATCGCGGAAATTAACGCTCAACAAAATCAACGCGACTTAAATTAACACGAATTTTAACGATTTACGTTAATTTCATGAAGAGTTAATTTACCATAGTAAGGTAATATAAGTTTTGATCACCGTCCGACGTTCGCATGGGGGGGCCTGGCGGGTCTTCTTGGTCATAGGAAAAGTACACCAGCTTAGTGAAATTACTACAACGCAGCTACAGTCACAAGATTTTTAGTAACCAATCATTAAGCGACAAGTTTAGAGCGTAGCAATTCTTAGTGCTGGGAAAACTACGGTTATGCGCATTTTAGTCTTTGCAAGCAGGCAAGCACTACCATCTAGCAAGCTTCCATAGCTTTTCAAGTTAAATTTTCTTTTGATCATGGCAACTGCTTCAGACACCAAGGCAGATCACAGAGTCATAAAACGTCGAGGGTGTAAAACACCTATTGAAGATCACCATTAGGGTATTCCCTCAAAGTTGTGCGAGAAGTTCAAGAAATCCTCGCCTGAAAAGGAAATGGAAAACTCTCCTCAGAGCGATGCAGTTTCCTCGCCTTGGCAGCTGAGTTAGGGACCTTAGAACTGGAAGAAAAAGAATTGCGGCGTCAGGAGGAAGAGTCAAAATTGTGGAAACAGATAGTGGATAAGCGCAAACTCATCAAAAAGCTCCGAAAATCTGGCTCAGGAGATGCCGCTGGTGAGGACAACACCAGCCGCTTAACAACCAAGGATCTACCGAAGGTGGATTTCAGCGATGCTGAGGGCAGAACTCCTCTTGATGAATTTTTGGCTGGTTGGGAAGATCAGCCCCAACTCTGACCCACGGACACAATTTGGCAGCATGCTGGAGCATGTGAGGGCCGCCGCTTGCAGTCATCTCACCAGCCCGCAATTACAGAAATGTTCCTCACACCCATGAAGACAGCGAAGGGTGAGAAACCATTGCTAATAATAGACTTTGTAAATAACATTGTCCCTCAATAAGGGGAAGAGACCTTGGGCAACCAAGGAAGTGGTAAAATTGTGGTGACTTATGGGCCAAAAAAGCCAAAATTAGAGTCTATTTCAATCCCCAAGTGGGTGGTAGCGAACACCCGTAATTTTTATACTTTCCTCTCAGAGGACAAATTATCTACTCAATCGGCTATTCAAGATTATCTAGCCTACACGGTCAAAACAATGGAGTTGATAGCTAGGTTTGATTGGAAGTCCATTTTTATGTACAATAATGAGTTTAAGAAATTGCAGGCTATCTATAAATTTTCATGGAGTCTTGACTCCACACATTTGCATATGGTTTTACTTCAGCCCAAATGTAAACCTAACCCAACCACAGTCACTACTAAACCATCTGCTTCTACTACCAACCAGCAGACCGCATTTGCCCGCTTTATGCCAGATGGTAGGGTTATATGCCGCAATTTCCATGGGCTCAAGGGTTGTGCACTCCTGAATTGTAATTTCCCTTGCGAAATAACTTTTGGAATTCCTAGGATAATCCTAGGAATTCCTAGGAATCATAGGTGTGAATTTTCACGGTAAATTCGGACTTGGAAATCCTAGGAATTCCCTAGGAATTCCCAGTTTAAAAAGTTCTGGTTCTAAATTCCTAGAAATTCCCGGAAATTCCAAATGGAAATGAAACTAGACTTGGAATTCCTAGCAATTCCAACCTACAAGATTTTAAAGCACAAAAAATTCTTAGAAATTCCCAGAAATTCCTAGTAGTTCCTAGGAATTCTAGGAGTTTACAGGTTTAACATCATGTCATCAATCAACATCCAATGCCAGGATAGTAATGCAAATTTAATGATTAATTACCAACTGGAGAAAGCATGGAAATTGCATTTAAACAAGTTTATGATAATAATGTTCAAAATCACATCTTATGGTACATGTTTTGTTTTTTAAAAAATTGAATAAAACAATTAAAGTCCTGAGATATAAATTGTTCTTGAGTCATTATTGAAAAATTGTGGGACAGATTTGTAACTGGAATAATACACCAAAAGAGTCTTGATTGAATTAATTTTACAGCGGGAATATATATGTAAAAAAAGAAAAAGTCAGGCCAACTTGCTTCCAGCAAGCTTATCTGCTAAGCCCTTATCAAGCCGCCCTTTTAATTCAGGTCTCCAACTGAGAACAAAATAATGAACTGGAAACTAAAATACTTGTAGTACATGACTACAGTAGAACCCCGGCGGTGAACTCGAACTCTAAAGGGAAACGAAAAATAGTTCGATTTTAAGTGGGGAATTCGAGTTATCGGGGCAAATTTCAGTGAAATCTTGATCAAGAGAAAACAAATTTAGTTCGACTTAGCGGGGAATTCGAGTTATCCGAGTTCGAGTTATCGAGGTTCTACTGTATTAAATCCTCCAGAATCTGATCGAGTATTAGCTTATTCACGTAGAATTCCATCAACCATTTGCAACAACGACTACAGTTATGTCTCCAGTAAACAAAAAGGAACCAATAAATGGTTTTCCATGCCATCTTGGAGTTTCGTGTTCATATATCGGAACGATCTATAATTTCACTTTGATCTCCAGCTTCATTATTGAGTACGTGGTTACCATCAGAAGACACATTACGAAGCAGGAACGTACCTTTACCTTTCACAATCCAGCTTACTTATCGTTCTCGGACATGACTGGAAGAACGTTTCATGTGTCAACAACAAAATAAATGAACAATCCGCGTTTAAAATAACGTCAATTTCGGATGCAAAATACTTGTGCTCTTGCTACTGAAAATCCGCGTGAATTTGAACTCACCAAACGGAACTTCATTTCACACTTTTCCATTGGTTCAAAAGGCGCACGTGATGACGCAATTCACTTAGTGGGGAGACTGGTAATCAGTATAGCTCAAACATGGCGGATGATTTTGCTCGATGATGAGCAAGTTGAAAAAAGCGGTCGTTTTCAGAGCTAAATAAAATATTCCAACGCTTTTGAGGTATAAGCAGCGAGAGGAAAATTTCGTATTGTTTTTTCAAGAAGCGATGACCTTTTATTAGGCAAAGCTGCGATGAAAAACGTGTTGTGGACATGTTTGGAAAGCTCAGGTACGAGAAGTGGCACTTTGAATAAGCTTTCTGTATCGTGCTTATTGTTGATAATTTTTTTTAAAGATTTAAGTCGCAATAAATGTTGTATATAGATGCTGGTTAATGTCAAGAAATCCTTGTTGTTATAGGAAATTAAAGAAATGATTATTAAAATTTTTTTACGCTTTTTATTACCTGTGAACACTTATCGTTTTTCCTAAAAATTAAGCCAGTGTTTCCAAGTTAACAATGACCTGGAATTATTGACAATTCCTAGGAATTCCCACAAATTCTCATTGGTGTTTTAGCAATTCCCAATAATTCCCATAAGTTCCAAAGACAGTTCCCTTCAAACTTGGAATTATTGGGAATTCCTAGGAATTCCCAAAAATTCTCACTGGTGTTTTAACCCATTCCCAAGTATTCCCAAATATTCCAAGGTTTTTTATCTTTGCTCATTTGCATGTCTTGGAATAAATTGGAATTCCTAGGAATTCCCAGAACTCTGGGAATTCATTTCGCAAGGGTTTGCCAATGTTTGTAATCGTAAGGTTACCGGGAAGGCTTGTGCAATGTCTCACCCCGGGTTCTTTCACAAAGTTGTCGAGCCTCCACGCGCGAAAACACTGCAATGACTACCCCCACGTAAGTTAACTTTTTATTGTCTGAACTTACTGTATCATATATATTTTCAATTTACCATTTCAACACAGACCTTTTACTGCACTTAATTTAATCCGCTGTGTTGGAACAGCCCTTGGCTGACATTTCTGCTGGGAAAACTGCTATTATCCCTAGGTCTTGCTTGTGTGTCTGTTTTGTTAAGTATATCGATTAGAACTGCTAAAGGTTTGAACCCAGGAGTCATTTCAAAAGTAGGTTGAGTTTGATCGTTTGGGTGAACGTAGTCCTGAATAGGACTGTTGTTGTTGACAGTGACTGATGTTTCGACAACCTGTGCAGTAGTCATCTTCACTGTCAAAGTGAGTTGCATTGAGTCAGTTGATGGTATTATACTCTGGTTATCTGATTATATAGATTAGGTTTTCTCAGGTATCAGTACTAGTGTAGACTTCGATCCGTCAACTTTAACTCGGCATTGCACCATAGGTTCTCTCTACATTAGTCTTCATCTACTCAAGCAAGTCAACTTTTCTGTGTGTGCAAACCAAAGTTAGTACTCTAATCTATTGCATTAAGTTTTAAGTTTTTCTTTTTAATTGTTTTTGGTTACGTTTAGTTTGGCAGCTGTTGTTATTGCTCCTGTATTGTTACCGAGTCGGCTATTTTCGGAATATTGTTACATTTTGGAGCTACTAGGTTAGGCTTATATTGTTAATAACGTTTATTAACTTTTTTCTGCTGCCTTAGTATAGTCATCGTATAACTTGATCATCTTTTTAGGCTTTCGTTTGATATCCAAGTTGCTAACATTATGGTGAGTGTTAGCTGTAACATTCTCAAATACATCAGTTTATTCTAGATTATTAGTTACATTAGTTTTCTCCTTTTTACTGTTGTATTTCAGTTCGAACCGACATACCATGACATAACGGCTTTACAGCACGTGGTTAACAAACATCCTTTCATCTTGGCAGGCAATCAGCTTCCATTAAACTTACTAAGCATTTAACTTTATCACTTAAACTTGCTTATAGTAGTCAGAACTTTTCATCGCATGTGCCTTTTAACCACCACTCTACTACCCTTGTTATTTACTTGGATTTTATTATCCTTACCTTGTACGTGATATGCTTGTCCCCAGGATAGTTTCTTAAGTTTCTTAGTTCCTTAAATAAACAAATTTTCTTTTATTTCACATGCCTAAGGGGAACACTTGCCAGAGCCGCTGATCATGGATATTTCCCCTGTACTTGAGGGTGCTTCCCATTATGCCAAAATTTCTGGTCAAAGTGGTCCACCTCCAGAGGTGGTCCTCTTTGACCTGTTGGTCCGGTCCGACCAAAAATTGCCGTTCCATTTTCAGAAATTTTTGCTTCCAGTCCCACTCCAGCTCGTCAACACAGTCAAAATGACGGATGGTTCAGATCTAAGTGTTTATGAGTGCAGTTTAAGCTTCAGAAGCCAGACATAACCTTTCTCCTTAAGCAGAGCTGCACACAAGGCTCAGTTATAGCAGTGCAACCCAATTTTTTTTTCTGCTTCTGGTTTTCATCAGCTTTTAAAGACAATACATTACTGGCTTCTCCGTATGTTGATGATGTTTTCGTGCTTTTTTTTTCTTAGCAGTATGTGACCCTAGCCCTTACAGCTTTTGACTGTCAGTGCGAAAAAATCCACAGCTCATTCCAACAACCTCCGCTAGCTCGACCAAAGCCCTGGAAAGATGGGAAGACAAACATGTCCAAGCTACCTGAAGTTCTTCGAGGAATTTGGGAAGTCTCACATTACCCAACAATCAATTCGGTTGAACTTTTGGTTCGGATGCATTCCATTTTCCCTTGGTTAGTACGAGTGGTCTCGGACCAGTCTGCCAGTATAATGGGAAGGACCCAAGTTTCAGTTCTTTGTGTAAATGTTAACTGTTGTTCAACATTTTTGTTCACTTGTAAGGGTAAGTGGTAGATTTCTCTCTTAAGAATGGATCAAAAGTTCACCCCACAACATGCGAGGTGGAAACGGTGGTACTATTTGCTTGCACTAGTTCAAGGCAAGGAAATGTACTAGCTGCAAGAAACCTGTGTGCCAGGTAATAAAAATACTTGTTATTGTGCCTCTACCACATCTGGACTCTCTAAATGGCGAAAAGTACTTGAGGGTGCACTGACAGTTGCGTGGATGCTGATCTGGATATTGATCTGGACATGTGGGGCAAAAAAGTGGTACAGACACAATCCATTTAGATCAAAGGTGTAAGCCTTGATGATAACCTTGATGCTAGAGGTTACATACGTGCAACAAAGTAGGCAAGATGATCTGAATATTAAGAAGGCTTAAAAATCTTATCCCAGTCAATGCCAAGTTACTTTTGCACAAATTGGCTATCTGCCAAAGCTTACCATTGGCACCTAGTGTGGCATTTTCGCACAGCATCTGATAGCAGTAAATTGGAGTGTTTGCAAGAAAGAGCCTTACAATTAGCGTATAATACTAGTGCAGACAGTTATGACACGGCTGAAAAAAGGTAAGTCAATCACTTGGCAGAATAAAAGGTTGCAGGAGATACTCAATCAGGGCCCGGTTCCTTCAAAGATGATTAAGTTTAACCCAGAATTAAGCTCAATTTTAAGCATGGTTTTCTTCTCTTAAAACATGAAACTCGAACTTATAAAATACTGTTGAACCTTTTCTCCGAGATACAGTAATGATAACACAAAATGTTACTCTTAAGCAATACAGTCAGGAAGATAAAATACAAAAACGTAATGAAATTTTAATCCTAGATTTGTGCTAATCAGCATTTCAGGAACTGGGCCTGGTGATTGAAGTCAAAAACAAATTAGTGGTGAACTATATCGTGGATATTAATGAGGACAATACTAATAGCAAGAGATATAACCTACGAAATGCAGATTTTGTTTTTCCTTGTTTTAAAACTGTTGCTCATGGAAGACATTCTCTAAAGTTTCTCGGACCACAGTTGTGGTCAAAATTAAGCAAAAGGAGGAGAGAAATGTTGGAACTTTGGCAGCTTTTAGGACAATGTTACGCAACAAGGATGTAACATCGACTGCTGAAGAATGTGAGAGCGAATGCCGCGTATGCTTAAGTTAACTGGACATGTGTAGCAACCTATGCAATTAATTTATTTTAGCATGTTTGGCAGATGTACATGTTTAGGTTCCGAGCTCATATATGCATTTAGCTTTAAAGAGTAAATGTAGTAGGTAGTTTTAAAGTATAAAAGTGTACTCAGTTGGAATAGTGTAAATTTCAGGCTTTTATATACCGTACTGTTTTATAGTAGTTAAACTTAATCAGTTTAAAATGTGTCCCCAGTTAGTACTAAGAGGTGCTAGAATGCTTACACACTTTAATAAGGGCGATGTATGTATGTATGAAGATCCATGTAAACATGCCAACCAACATAAGCCCATTGGGTTACATGATTTGTAAGAACCCAAAGCTTGCAGATTTGGGCTTCCAGAACTATGAGACTGCTGATTTGTGTTATACTCTGACATTCTTTTTTATAGTTCCTAGAAGCTTTATCCATACACAATGAAAAGTGTGGATGTTTTCCCTCAGATGCTTAGACTTGCCTTTCCAGTGGTTGTCTGAGGGTGGCACTTTAGTTGATCAAATAACATTACTCACTTCTGGGCTTATAACCTGAACACTGCTAGAGCCAGAGGGTGGAAGTGCCAAGATCAAATAATTACCGCCTCTAGGTGGTACGCTTTCACTGAGACATCTATATGTTACAGGAAGTTTATTATTGGTATGTAAAATAAGATTAGAGGAGGATAACTCACTGCTAGACAAATCCTACCGCCTTTTCTTGAAAAAAAAAATTAACAAAAAGCACCTGGCAGAGGCTAGCCCTGTTTCAGAGCAGACAGATTGTCAAACTTACAATCACCAGCCAACATAGCTGACCAATCAGGTTTTGAGGCTAGTGTTGTCAGAAGATAGACTGTCCTTTACAACCACCAACTTCGCAGTAAAACAGAGGGCATACAGTTTTCATTGAAAAGAAGATAATACTACAAAAACAATAGTCTGTGGATTGGCGCTAATGAAAAAACCCAGTTAAGTTTGCAGTAACTACCGCTTGATTCGTTTTGTGCTATTTCTGGAGTCTTCTGGATTGCATTGTGGTAGGCTTGTTTTAATGTTGGTGTTTTTCTTTTTAGTGCAGCAGTTGCGAGTAAAAATTATGCCTTTCATGATAAAACAATGAAACTTGGCACACTTGCAATACATATCTTTTAAAACATATTTGGAAAAAGAGCGTAGTTACTAAAACATGGAACGACCTAAAACCACCTAAAACCACCTACAACCATCTACAACCACCTCAAAAACATCTACAACCACTCGCAAACAATCTAAAACCATCTAAAACAAGGTATAAATGTCTGAAATAAGGCGAGACGACAACATGTCATGAACATGAAATACGAGAATCAAACAAAACATCCACTTCCCCCTAAAATCTTACTCTCCCTGGTCGCTTGTATCATCAACCATCGGCTTAAGTCACGAAATGAAATGCGAGATCATGCTAAGTATATTATAAGACTTAAAGAACTTTACAAAATGAACTATCAAGTCACCAAAAATAGTAACATAAAATAACAAACTCGTAGTCGAAAGACTGACTTGATTTGGCTTTTTCTACCCTGGGTACCAGTGAGACGTTTTGGTTCACATTTCTTTTGTTTACGCCATGGCACAAGGTAGGGTTTCTCTCTCTCTCGGAGTCTGCTTCACTGCTGTTTTGTTCTGAGGTGGCGGATTACATTCCTAAGAACAAGTTAATTTTTTTAGCATCTCATCCGCCAAACATGTTTGTACATTCCAGGTGACTCCTTTAGATGCACGACACAGGAGATGGAGACTAGTAGGTGTAATCATTGTTAAAAATGTTATTTAAAAATATCTATAATGCAATGGATTCAGAAGAAAACAAGTTAAGACGAGCCGAAATTAATAAAAATGAATTGAAAAAATTTAATAGTGAATGATTGTATTTAAAGTAATTTACCTGGATTTTTATATACCTTTATTATGTTTTGGAACCCAACTTTCACCCCGGCCCTCTTCTTGGGAGTGATGGGATATGCGTGCTTCTTATTTTCGCTTTGCTCGTTGTAAATACGTCCCCATTATACTATCTGAGAGCCTGGCACAGGCTAGAGTAGCTGGAACTTTACGAGCTTAAACGGAACGAAAAATTTGGATCACATATTCGGGTCTTCCCTCCCCGCCAAGGGACGTTACTGGGAAGAACGTTTTGATTCATTTTGCTGAAAAGAATTATCAAATATCATATAATGTTTTCTAATTCTTGCAACTGTAAACAGGATAATAGCTGTATAAAATCAGGCTCTACAAGTGAGACACGTTCGCACTAGACTAAAGGATTCTGCGGGACTACATACATTTGTGTGAAACTATTTCAGACATTTATACCCTGTTTTAGATGGTTTAAGATTGTTTACGAGTGGTTGTAGATGTTTTTGAGGTGGTTGTAGATGGTTGTTGAATTTTTTGAGGTGGTTGTAGGTGGTTTTAGGTGGTTGTAGATGGTTTTAGGTGGTTTTAGGTCGTTCCATGTTTTAGTAACCACGGGAAAAAGAGCCATTGCAGAATATTCACGTGTCGAACATGGCAGTTTTTTTTTAAAAAAGGGCACGTCTTTTTTACTTTGACTACCGATAAATCTATAACAGCTAATGAAATAGATAACACTTCATAGTCAGGGTGCTTTTTACACCCCATTATGTCTTATCCCAATATTACAATTGTCATGTAAACACTAAATGAGGTAAAAGGAAGGATAATACAGGATTTGGTCCTCTTGTGGTAAATTATGATACACATTACAAAGTAATTACGGAATCAAGATTTAAAATAAACATTTTCTTGCAAATATTAGATTGTAGAGTGTGGTAGGCACATATCAAATACGTATAGGGCGTGTTCCTTTGGAAGGATCTGGATCAGGATTACTGATCTGTCGCATTCCTTTCAAGCAAATCCATTTCCAGATCAGTGATCCATGGAATCAACTCTGGACAACGATTCACCAGATCATTGATCTGAGCGATCTGACAGTGGATCATTGGATTCATGATCCTGTGCATTCCTTGGGACGACAGATCCGAAAAAAATCACTGTGGACAGTGGTTTTCGCACGTATTCAAACGCATTCAGCACTCGCAGCATATTTAGGTGAGTACGTAGTCACAAAAAACATTGCAGTTTCGGTCTCTTTCCTGTCTGTATTGATTAAAATTTATCATAAGATTGATTTGATTAGGGGAGTACATATTTTCGAAATGTTTTATGGATATTTTTTCGGTTTTAACGGCGTATTTACCGGATACATCTAAACTGTTTGAAATGACAGGTGCCGTCATGATAGACTCTGTAAAGCTTTAACTTATGATTTAGCATTAATAACGCTGTTAGAACAGAGCTGCAGTGAAAACATTGTTGATCAATCACGCCCGGCTCTTCTGCTGTGCATTTAGCTTGTTTTTGCACTTTCTTTAATATGAGTTAAGCTTAATATTAATTCCTTCCATTGCTTGGCACAATTTATGCTAAATAGACTGGTAATGTATGCTTAACTGCGACAGTATGAAAGATGGACACGCACAGCAAGAACTCTCTATCTCATAAGACGTAAAGGTACACCTTAGTACCTTGATCAGAGCTTATATTTATTTCAGAGACTTTGAGACCTGGACATAAATAAATAAAGAAGTGTCTTTATTGTTCTGAAGATAAAATTACGTATCTTATGTTACATTTAAATACAATAATGTTAATGGGCTAAAGTATGTCACTAAATAAGATTAGTATATACATAGAAACAAATACAAAAAAAAAACAGAATCGCGTGTTCAAAACTTATACCTTGATGATTTAACTGATATTTCATGGATATTCTTATGAACTTGAAGCTATTCTTTTCTACAGTCAGAAAGGGGTAAAAAATGTGAGTAGCGAGTAGTATGTATACAATTTTTGTTAACTCTGTCATGACTATCTTTTTCTTGTTATAAGGTACAAATAGATTGTAAAGTGACACATCAGTGGAATTTGCCTTACCAGCAAAGTGGCACCAGTGAACGCTCGAGTACACCCACTTACATGGCCTTTGGTCCTCCTACTGGTTCACAAGTTTACCTGCAACATACCAACCCTCTACCCATGCCTTGTATGTCATCAGCTAATCGCAGTGGTAGTGAAGAGCGAGTTGAAGCAGGTAGAGAAGAGAAGCTGTGGAATAAAGACGAAGTTCTGTGTTTGATATTTTTGCAAAGAGGAAAGATGATTTTAAAAACCCAAGAATGAAAAACAAGGATATCTGGCATGATATTTTCCTTGAAATGCAGGCAGAAGGATATGTATCTTGTGAGACCAAGTTCAAAACTGTAAAAAGAGCATATACTGCATGCATCGACCACCACAGTAAAACAGGAAATGATGCAAAGAAGTGTGCATATTATGAAGAACTAAATGGTATATTCCATGGTGACGACAATATCAAACCACAAGCTGTGTTCAGTAGTAGAAAGGGGCTGGTGAAGAGAGGAAAAGAGGGGAGTTCAGAGAGCTCAACAGAGTGGGAAGATGCAGAGTGCACTGCAAGTGATGACCATGACGATGCCATTAAGAAGAAAAAACCAAGAAAGAAAGCCCCAAATCTTGTGTCACTTTGAAATACCATTCAAATCCAGGGGAAGAAAAGGGGACCTAATAGACAAACTTTTGTCTTTCATACAAGAGTGCACGTGCTTTTCTCCATCAGCTCAGGAGTGAACATTGGGATCCTTAATTTAGTGTGATTAACAGCTGGCAAAAACGTTTGGGATTTAACAGGAGACGTACTCTGGGGGAATGCGTGATGGGCCACAGTAATTTATAACTATTTTAATTCACGTATTTTACAACATATCCTCCTCTGCTGCTTCTTCCTCGTAAAAAAAAACAGACTCTAGGGGATTCTGAGTCATATCGTTTGTGTTTTTCGGTGGTTTTCCCTTAAAAATGTGAAGTACAAGGTTTATATTTCCTGTCCATTTGTTGAAATCACGCATCTAAGGCAAATTTGCATACGGAGAAAAGTCACGTTCTGATCGTCGAAAAGAAAAAAAAAAACAAGGAAAAGCAATTACCAAGTTTTCTCCACATGTTTTCAAAAGTCCAACTTTTAAAGGGTCTAATGACATTAAAGGGTCTAATGACATTTGGTGATAACTAAAAATGTTAAGGCTGGGGAAATTAGACAATCAGATGCGGACCTGCCTTACTATCAAAATGGCGAATTTTGGATCATTAATGGCACTTTGTGCAGCACGCAAAGAAGAGTGCCCACAAATTTTGTTGCATTAAGAAGTAGACTGGTCTTAGTACTTCTGATTTATCCAGGCGGTGTGCGCACTGGGATCGCTAAGCATCATAAGCAGTATTCAAAATCTGATCATTTGTGTCTAGATGGCGAGGAGTGAACATCTCACAGTAAGCGACTGTGGAGACAAATATTCGTTAAATACGCTGTAGAAATCAGCGATTTACCTTTGTTTTCTTCCAGAGACGTCTGTAAAAACAAAGGCTATTGAGTTGTCGGGGAAAAACAGTGTCATTGCGTTAATAAGGGTATTTCGTTCGAAATCACTTGCATGCAGTTGGTAAATCAAAAAATTGCTGCTTTGTTCAATGCTTCAGTCATGAAAGTACTAAAGGTAAGACCCGTGGTTTGCCGGAGAAACGATTTCATCGTCAGATTAGTGCAACTAGAACTATGAGGTACTACGACAATTTCTTCATTATTAGCAACATGAATTTATGCTTAAGTTGGCTTGAAAATCTTGTAAGATTGTGTATGCTTCCTTCTGTGACAAGATAGCCCTAAAACAGTTGCCAGGTATTATAAGAGAACTTAAGTGGGTCAGCTTTACCGGGATTTAGGTCTCTGTTGGCAACCTGTTTGCATTTCTCATTGTTTTACCACACATGAAGTAAATGAAAAGTAATTAAAGATATCAATACATATACAGTGAGTTGTGTCTCATTTATAGATATAAATAATTTTGAGCACTACTTTCTTCAGGGATCTTTAGTCTTAAATAAAAAGCTAATGAAGAAACTAGTATCCTTGCTTTCTATATTGGTATGAGTCACAGAATGTAAAGTTTGAAATTGAAAATGGCATTCAGCATTTGTGATTACTAATCCTCTTACAGTCAAGCAGATTAAGTTACAAGAATTGAGCCTAGAAGACATTCATAGTTTTTACCTATATTTTTTTATATGAATGATTGTATCAGTATGTACAAACATATGTCGTCGCATATCTTTTGTATGATAAGAATAATTTTTTTTTAATTCAAAAGGTGAAAATGTTATCTGTGTTTACAAATCTACTGTAATCAGGGGCAACATGTAGGGAGACCCCTTTCCTTTCTCGTGACCCCCTCCCTCAAACTACTTTTCTTTAATTCCAATGTTGTGTCATAGGTGTTATTTACTTCAATCTTTTGGGTTAGCAGTTATTACCGTGGTGGATCCTAATAGCCACCCTTTTTTCCCACTTTGGATATCTTGTAGTATCTCAGGTAAATTTTATTTTTCTTTTGTTTGAACTCCATTTGCACACATTAAAATACTCAAAACGAAAGAAAAATAAAAATTACCCGAGATAAAAAATTAACGACAACATATATTCCCTTTCCTGTCAACTATTTTCCCCTTACTCTTGGTTGCCCAATTATAACTTAGTAAATCTATGAGATAAACTGTATTAACTGAAGCCACCAAAATATGCAAATCCCTTGATATAACTATGTTATTGGGGTAAATAGGTTGACTGACCTCAGTGTATAAGCAGTTTGTTGCCTAGCTGTTCCAAATTCCTCTAAACTACAATAATCCTAACATCCACCCACAAACACACACACACACGTCTTGAACAGAGATAGTTATTAATTTGGCACTCAAGTGTAATAAGACCAATGAGAATATTCTGTTGACTAGAATCAAAGTGACAGCTTGGTGGCTTCTACATGACACCACTCATGCATTTCTCTCACCACTTTTTTTCATAAAGGGTAGCTGTTTTCAAAATGTACAGGGTTTATCTGTATTTAAAGTTAATTTCTTATCTTTGACGAAAAAATATTCAGGTGCTTTCATTATACTCTCAGAGGCTTCACATGCATCACATTATCATTTTATTTGGTCTAATTTGTTTTCAATCAGACTTCAATAGGCCATTTTTCATTCATATATTTTTTCATAAATCTGACATTTGTTATGTGCAATCTGTAATGTTTACGCCACGTGTGGCATGATGCGCGAAGCATGCCGGGGTTGTAGAGAATATGGTGAGTTGTTGAACATGTGCTCGACTGTCGTGTCTTGCTAATTCATTTTGTGTATGATAACAAACAATTACGTTGGCCACGAGTAAGGGACGTCGTTGCAAGTAACTCCAACAGTCTTTGTGACAGATTTGCCGATTTTATGATCGCCTCCGCTCTTCCAAACTTCGATCCTTTTGATATCCATGCTGATGGTGCAAATGCTGGCAAAGGTGGATCACACGTCCTGAAAATCTGTTCGTTGCTGCTGCCATCACTGATAAGAAAAGACAGTGAGCTTTTCTTCTTTACTACACCGGAGAAGAGGTGTGCGAGATTTTTGAAACTTTAGTGGATACAGGTGATGGGTTTGCAATGGCCAAAGACATGCTCGAAGAATGTTAAGTATGAAATTTACACGTTTTGGCAAGCCTGAAAGAACACAGGCGAGTCCATGAATGCATTTCACTCTCGTTTGCGTCAATTATCTGCTACTTGTGAGTTTGGGGACGTCGACAAGGAAATTAAATCGCAGATTTTTTTATCCTGTTCATCACAGCGTCTTCAATGCAAGGCTTTAAGAGATGCGACCATGACACTTGAGACCTTATTGAATGAGGCACGAGCTCTGGAAATCTCAGAAACGCAAGCAAAGGATATCGAATCGTCAGGAAATGCGGCTAATGCTGTGCTTCCTACTCCATCACCACCGAAGAAAAATTGTTTCAATTGTGGTGAAATTTGGTCACAAGACTCAAAGACGGGTTGTGCTGTGTGAAATCGCAAGTGCAATGGCTGTCATAAATATGGTCACTATGCGAAATGCTGCACACAAAAGTCGCATGAAGCCCGAAATTCCCAAAAAGGAAAGCATCCCCGTGGACATGGTAATCCCAAGGAAAAGAAAAAACAACATTTTAACAGATTGGAAGCAGAATGTGAGGAACGTGAGACCTTCTCAAGCTCTGATGACGAGTATACATTCAAGTTAGAAGTCCCCGCCTCGAAGGTCAGTGCTCCTTTTGTCTCTTTGAAAGTGAACAGTGTTGTGTGCAAGTTCTTGGTAGACTCTGGGGCGAGTGTGAACATTGTTAGTTCCAATGCAGTTAAAGTTTTTGGTGTCGACCTGCAACCCTGCGGTACAAGGGTCTATGCCTTCAATTTATCTACCCTGCTTCCAGTGATAGGCAAGTTCTCAGCCCTCATTGAATCAAAGTGTAGTGCAGTCGACACTGAATTTGTTGTGGTGGAGAGTAAAACTTCAGATTGCAAATGCTGTATCGGTGGAGAAAAACGTATTCCAGCGGTACCCTACTCTGTTGACTGGTCTTGGAGAAATGAAGAATGTTGAAGTTAAGCTGCATATTGATGGAAATGTGAGTCCTGTTCATCAAACACACCGAAGAATTCCTTTTCACCAACACAAAAGCCTAGAGACTTGTCTTAGTCCCAGAGCCAAAGCAACCTGGTGGTGTTCGTTTGTGCGTAGATATGCGTGAGACAAACAAAGCTATCTCGAGAGAGCGACAGCTGCTGCCTACCCTTCATGAAGTGATACATGATCTGAATGGCGCTACTGTGTTTAGCAAATTGGATCTAAATCATGGCTATCATCAGTTACTGTTGCACCCTGACTCAAGGCACATTACCTGATTCTCTACTCATACTGGCTTATTCAGGTACAAGCGTCTCAGTTTTGGCATTAACGCTGCTGCTGAAAAGTTTCAGACTGTGATTGTCTCTGCCATAAGTGACATTCCAAATGTTAAGAACATAAGTGATGATGCCATAATCTGTGGAGTAAATGCTCAGGAACATGATCAGGCTCCAATGCTGACTCGTTTCCAAGAGCTGAACTTCACTCTTCGCAAAGACAACTCTGTAAGTGATGTCAGAAGCCTGCTTGGCATGACAAACTATGTATCGCGTTTTATCTGTAATTACGCAGACATTGTTGCTCCCTTGTGTGACCTCACCTACAAAGGTGTCGAATTCAAGTGGCAAGAGGTCCACCAAAAGGCGCTACACCAGCTGAAGTGCAGTCTCACCTGTGATGCAGTCATGGCTTACTTTGATCCTCACAATAAAACTGCTCTGTTTGTAGATGCCAGTCCAGTTGGGTTAGGTGCTATGCAGACACAAAGTGGCAAAGTGATCTCCTATGCCAGTAAAGCACTCTCCAGTGTAGAATGGTGCTACTCCCAGATTTAACGAGAAGCATCGGTCATCACTTGGGGTTATCATCACTTCCGCATGTACTTGCTAGGACGCCACTTTAAAGTGATAACAGACCACCAGCCCCTGTTGCATATCTTCAACAGTTCTACTTCCCAAGCTTCAGCAAGGATTGACAACTGGCGTCTGAAGTTGCAGTCATTTGATTTCGAAGTTCTGTACTCAAGAGGGGATTTAAATCCAGCTGATTACATACCAAGACACCTTCAAGCTGCCACGCAGTGGGACCTGATTGCTGAGTCTGCAGAGCAGTATGTTAACTTTGTCATGACACAAGCCACACTCAAGGCACTAAGCAAAGATGATATCATCAAGGCTACAGCACAAGATGCAACTCACAGAAAGTGATGCGTCCTATCTCAAATGGCCAGTGGAACAACCTGAAGCCAGTGAATGGAGTTGATCCAAGTACCCTTAAGATTTTTGCAAATGTTCGGAATGAACTTTCCTCAGTGGATAGTAACATTGTCCTTCGTGGAAATTGAATTGTAATTCCTGGTGCTCTTCAGAAGTGTGTCATTGAACTGGCTCATGAGGTTCATCAAGGCTTTGTCAAGACCCGCAGTTTGCTGAGATCCAAAGTCTGGTTTCCAAAAATGGATGCTCCTGTTGACCAAGTTGTAAAGAAGTGCTTTCTGTGTCGGACTGCTACACCAAAACCCTCTCGGGAACCGTTGAAAATGACCCCTCTGCCTGATGGTCCTTGGCAACAAGTGAGCATTGACTTTTGTGAAGTAGCAGGGCATTATGTTCTCGTAGTGATCGATGATTACTCAAGATTTCCAGAAGTTGAGATTGTGCATTTGACTTCTGCGAAAGCGGTCCGTCCTAAGTTACATTGCGTATTTGCCGCTTATGGTGTGCCTCAAGTTGTCAAGTCTGATAACGGTCCTCCTTTTAATGGTCACCAGTTTGCCCAGTTTGCAGATTATCTTGGTTTGAAGCGCCGTAGAGTTACTCCTCTGTGGCCAGGAGCAAATGGCGAAGTGGAGCGCTTCATGAAAACATTTGGCCAGGTGCTCCATACAACTTCTAACCTGAAGCAACAGATGTACCAGTTCCTGTGAAACTATCGCGCAACTCCTCATTGTACTACTGGTGTCGCTCCTGCCACTGCCCTCTTTGGAAGACCAATCAGGATCAAGTTGCCCTGCCCTGTTGCTGTTGCATGTGAGTCAAACTTGAAACCAGCACTAATGCGTGAGCATGATGCCCACCAGAAACTCAAGATGAAGACTCTCGCTGAGAGCAGGAGACGTATTAAGAATTCTGACATACAGGTTGGAGATACTGTGTTGGTAAAGCAACCAAAGACGGGGAAGTTCTCAACACCATACTATCCAGTACCACTAGAAGTCACAAACAAGAACCACAGTCTGCTGACGGCTGAAGGAGCCGACCGGAGTGTGACTCGCAATTCTTCCCATTTTAAGAAGCTTCACCAAGACCATGCAGATCTAGTATCAGTTGACATCAACTCAAGTGCAGTCCTAGTATCAGTTGACACAAACTCAAGTGCAGACCCAGTACCAGTTGACACCAGCTCAAGTGCAAGTGCCCAAGCTGAACTCCCACCAAGGAGGTCTGCTCGTGTGTCCAAACCTCCCAGGAGGCTGATTCAAGGAATGTGACTATGGACATTTTTTTGTTGTTGTTGTCGAACTCATGTTATAGTGTTTTGATTATGAACATTCGAGAACATCTAAGATTACGTTTAAGTGACGTTCAGAGAACTTAACACTAGGTCAGGACATTTTCCAGAATAGCAGTCTTATAGGATCTACTAGTATTCATTTTGCTCCATGCTTTTTTTTAGTAAGGTTAGATTATTAGTTTCTTTTTGTTTGTTCACGTTATGTTTCAAACTAGAGGTAAGAGGAAATGTAATGTTTACGTCACATGTGGCATGATGTGCAAAGCATGCTGGAGTTGTAGAGAATATAGTGAGTTGTTGAACATGTGCTCGACTGTCGTGTCTTGCTCATTCACTTTGTGTAGAATAACAACCCATTACACAATCGTCCACAGGCTTCATGCTCTTGTACATAACCATTGAACTATTTTGTAATTAACTTGTGGTTACAAGAGTGACAGTTCGATTGACATGTCACGTCTGTGCGAGGCCACATTTTGTTACGAAACATGTCGGTTTTCGTTGGAAAAACTACAAAAAGTGGGGAGCGTTTATACCTTGGCGCAGAACCATCTTTGTAAAAACACTCAAGACTAGCTTCTGTCGTCAGTGAGCACTATGATAGAAATTATAGCTCTCCAAGCAATGGGTTCAAATTTCATGCTTGTAGAGGAGGAATCTTTGTGCTCCGTGTTTTAGATTGTAATGAGGAATGATGATTTTTTCTTCAGAGAAAAAACCTAAGTAAGTATAAGTTTAAGAAATTGTGGATAGCTTTCTCAGAAAAGAACTGTTTTCGAAATATAAAGCATATAACCTGGGAAATTTCTCGACCTTCGCCGCCACCTTGAAAATTCTACATCCACAATGCATCGCAATCTCAGTGTGCACACTGCCTGGATTTATCAAAGACTTGAGTCTGGGTCAGGTGCCACTTTTGCGAAATTACCGTTCAGCCCTCGTTATACAAATTACTTTCCTCCTGAGCAAATTAAAGGTCATTTTAAAAAAATCATATCTTAGCCACCTTTCTACTGACTGCAACCATTAAACTTTGACACTATCAATCAGAGTTAAAACTTTTTTGTGCAAAATAATCAGCTAATTCAGCGTTGAAAGATAGGTTTGACAGAGCCCTAAAGTTTCAGCTACATCACACCACTTCCGACGGCAAACTGTCCCATTGTAGGTGATGTAGAAAATCTTCCTGTAATATGGAGAAAAAAATGAGTTGGTCCAAATAAATGTGATATCTCCTCACGGCATAGGATAGTTACCCTGCATGGGAAAAATCAGGGCAATCCGTGATAGACTGAAATTTGCCTTATCGGTTCTTACGCGGACAGCCTCTTAAGTGGTTGTTGTTACCAATGTTCGCGGGTCCTGATTTAGAAGTGGATTTTGATCTTACTTGTCTTGTTATCCTTGATCTCGAGGGGTCTTATCCGAACTTAAAGGCAAGCTATCTTAAAAGTAATTATTGAAACCCTAATCACGCGGTACTGAAATGTCCCCTCATAGTTTTATCCATGCCATGTATGACCTCCTTGCCCATTTAGCATACAGTGTCAATGTAGATTTATCATTATTCCATTCCTCTTACTGTCAGCATCTCTACATGGTGGGGCACCACCATCTTCATCACTTCCATCATCCATTAAGTCATCAACGTTGCCATCATCAGCAATTATGCAAATGTTATGTAACACACATGTAGCTGCAATTTTAACTTGTGCATCCTAAATCTTGCCCACCTCCATTAGTGTCTTTGTCTTCCTAAATCTACCCTTATAGAGACTGAGGGATCTTTTTACAATCATTCTTGTCAAGCTGTGAACAAAACTATATCATCTTTGTCTCATGGTGAGACGCCCATTTTCTCGAAAAGGGGTAAGCACCCACCCCTCTAAAGGGTATGCAAAGTCACCAATCAGATGGGTATTTCTTGGAAATATGACATCTGGATTTGCTTCAGCATCTTGGAAAAAGGGTGAATTTCTGAAGACCCTGGCATCATGTGCAGAACCAGGATAACAACAAAACACATCAGTGAATAGCATGTTCGCATCGCAAATTACCTGTAACTTCGGCGAGTGAAACCCCTTATGATTTATGTACTGTTTTTGGTTTTTCCGCGGTCCTTTGACTAGAATATGACATCTATCGATAGCACCTAAAACACCAGGGAATCCCCATTTCTTCTCAAATCGTTGTTCCACTTCTCTTGCTCATTGACCTGAAGGAAACTTGATAAACTGACCAGACAGATTGTTGGCAATCGCTCCACATACTCTGCGATAAACATGAAATGCACCTTATTTTGTAATGTTAAATCTGTCTGCTACTGACCTCAGGCATTCAGGGTTCCCAAGTATCCATAATGTAATTAAAACTTGCTTCCGTAAGTCAATGATAGGTCTTCTACCATTCTTTTGTTCCTAGGGAAGATCTGGGCGAGCAGCTAGCAAGCCTTCCAAAAAAGT